TAAGTAATTGGTGATCACTCAGGAAGTGTCATCAAGGCGCTAGCCACCGCCAGGATTGGGTAGAGTTATTATCCCCCCCACCCAAGCTGGCAGAGCCAGGTCTTCAATTTTTTCTGGAAGGCCGGTAGGGTAGGGGCCTGCCGCACCTCTTGGGGGAGAATGTTCCAAAGGGTGGGAGCAATGGCAGAGAAGGCTCTCCTCCTGGGCCCCACCAGTTGACATTCTCTCGCTGACAGGACCCACAACATGCCTTCTCTGCCTGACCGGGTGGGACGGGTTGATGTGACAGGGATAAAACAGTCCCTCAGGTAACCTGGACCCATGCCATGTAGGGCTTTAAAGGTCATAACCAACACTTTGAATTGGACCTGGAAGCAGACTGGGACCCAATGCAGTTCATGTAGTAAAGGTGTTATATGAGCCATTCTTGGGGCACTCAAAATTATTCATGTGGCCGCATTTTGGATCAGCTGTAGCTTCCAGATACTCTTCAAAGGTAGCCCCATGTAGAGCGCATTGCAATAGTCTAGCCAAGAGATGACCAGGACATAAGTGACTGACCGGAGAGCCTCCTGATCCAGGAAGGGGCGTAACTGGCGTACCACACGAAGGTGGGCGAAGGCTCTCCTGGCCACGACTGCCACCTGCTCCTCGAGCAGGAGTCGTGAGTCCAGGAGGACCCCCAGATTACGCACCTGATCCGTCTGGGGCAGTGCAACCCTGTCCAAAACCAAAGATGGTAAATCCTTGGATATAGAGGGGCCTCCAATCCATAGCCACTCCATCTTACCAAGATTCAGCTGAAGCCTGTTGCACCCCATCCAGACCCCCACAGCCTCCAGGCACTGTGAAAGAGTGGTCACGGCATCACTCAACTCACCCGGGATGATGTATAACTGGGTATCATCAGCATATTGATGATACCTCATCCCATAGTGATGGATGATCTCACCCAGTGGTTTCATGTAGATGTTAAAAAGGAACAGAGAGAGTATCAAACCCTGGGGCACCCCACAAAGGAGGGGCCGCAAGCTGGACCTCTCACCCGCATCAACACCCAATTGGGATTGACCTTGGAGGAAGGAAGAGAACCAGTACAAAACTGTGCCGCCCACTCCCAACTCCCCAAGTCGACCCAAAAGGATACCATGGTCGATGGTATCGAAAGCTGCTGAGAGGTCAAGAAGAGCAAGGATGGATGCACTACTCCCATCCCACTCCCACCAGCGACCATCCATGAGTATGACCAATGCCATTTCCGTCCTGTATCCGGGCCTGAAACCTGACTGAAAAGGGTCCAGATAATCCGTTTCCTCCAGGATCCTCTGGAGCTGCAGTGCCACCACCTTCTCAACCACCTTCCCTAAAAAAGGGAGGTGGGAGACTGGACGAAAATTGTCCAGTATGATGGGATGCAATGATGGCTTCTTGAGGAGGGGGTGCACCAGTGCCTCCTTAAAGGCAGCTGGAAACACTTCCTCCCTCAAGGATGAATTCACCATTACCTGGACCCACCCACATGTCAGCTCCCAGGAAGCTTTAACTAACCAGGAGGGACACGGATCTAGTTGACAGGTGGTGGCATTGACTGTCTGGAGGACCCTATCCACTTTCTCAGTTCAACAGAATCAAACTGTTCCCAGATAACAGGGTAAGAACGTACCCTGGGCATCTCTATAGACCATGCCTCATGCTTGGTATCCAACTGGAACTGGATTTGAGCAATTTTATCTTCTAGATACCTAGAAAACTCCTCTGCACTGAGCCCCCCTTTCCCAAAAGAGATCGGGTGATCTTGAACAGGGCCACCAGGCAGCATTCGGCTTATGCAATAATAGCAGAGAAATATTGAAATTTCGATGCTCTTACTGCCACAAGGTAGACCTTAATAGTGGCTCTAGCTTGTGTTTGGTTGGGTTCGGTCCTTGTTTTCCTCCAGTGAGGCTCTACATGTCTTTTAACCCTTTTCAAAACCCTCAACTCCTCCGTAAACCATGGGGAGTATTGGGTTCGATGGGTCAAGAGAGGTCGCATGGGTGCGATCTTGTCCAAGGCCTCAGCCACTTTCCTATTCCAGGTAGCGGCCAAGGGCTCCACTGGACTGTGCAGCAGACTCTCGGGTATAACCCCCAGCTCCTTTTGGAACCCAGCTGGGTCCATCAGTTGCTGGGGGCAGACCGATTGAATGGGTCCTGCCTCCCTGTGGAGGGGAATGGCATAAGAGAATCTCAAGGCCACCAGGACATGATCTGACCACGACAAGGGGGATAGCTGTAATTCCTCCTTCAGATCACATTGCCACTGCTCTGACAAGAAAACCAAGTCCGGTGTGAGACCAGTCCTGAGTCAGGTCACGGATAACCTGGGACAGGCCCATGCCCGCCATGGTAGCCATGAACTCCTGGGCTGCCTCTGAGGCACACCCAAGGGATGGCAGATTGAAGTTCCCCAAGACCATCAGTCTGGGGAACTCCACTGCTAGCCCCACGACAGCCTCCAGCAGCTCAGGCAGGGAGGTTGCTACGCAGCAGGGAGGCTGGTACAGTAACAACAATCCCAACAGTGCTTGTGAACCCAATTTCAGGAACAGGGTCTCACAACTGGCCACTTGTGGAGCAGCGCCCCTGACGGCCAACAGAGATTCTCTGATGACAACTACTACCCCTCCTCCACTACCCTGGGGTCTTTTTTTTTTTTTTTT